ACTGAGCCAGGGGCGGAGACAAAGCTGGGCAGTCAGCACTGAACACTCACACCTGATGACTCCCATTGCAAGGAAACAGCGACTAGAGAAGTTAACAATTCGCCCAGGTCTCTCGGCTAGTCAAGGCAGAAGCAGGATTCAAACCCAGACCTTGCAGTTCTGGAAACTGTGTCCGTACTAGAGGTTCCTCTGTCTGCGGGCTCCCAGGGCCCTGTTTGATCCCCACCTCCCTCCTGGGGAGGGGCTGAGGTTACCATCATCTCTGAGAGAAGGCTGAGCCCCCGGGCTGGTCTGCGGTAACATGCTGACGGTAACATGCTGAAGTCAGCGTGCGTCTGTGCAGCCAGAGGCAGGATCCCTGAAGGCAGGGGCTGCGTGGAAGTGATTTCCTGTTCCTCCTGTCCCCAACCCCAAGGCTAACCTTGCATAGGGGGCACTGAGTACAAAGTAGAAGAACGAATGAATGAGGGAGTGAGTGAGTGAACCTTTGTCCCCACTTCCTTGTGTCTTACAAAGCACGTGGGGGGCCAACATCTAGTCCCCAGTTCACAGACCTGCTCCCCGACTCCCGGCACTGTGCCAGGGTGCTCCTGGGACTCTGGCTGGGTGCGGACACCCTGCCCTGTCCACTGCAGGAATCACCTCCTTTCCCAGCAGACCCTCCCCCACCCTCCAGCCTGCAGCTGGCAGCCTGCCCATATCTGGCCCTTCATTATTTGGAAAATGCTGACTCACGGGGTCACCAGCCTGTGCCAAAGACTATTAGGGAGGGAAATTAGCTGGACAAAATAACAGATGGTTGGCCAAAGGCAAAGGAAAGAGCTTCTGGGATTGTCCCAGGTGCTGTCCCACACCTCTGTAACAGGATGGTGAAAGGCGTCACAGGTGGACCTTCGTGTGCTGGGGAAAGACCACACGCATGCTCCATGTCCTATTCCACGTCAAAGAACGCTAGCTTGAAAAATCAAAGACATGAGCTCTGGTCCTGCCAGCCCTACTGTGCACCTCTGCATTCCCCCCTCTGGGCCTCAGTTTCTCTATCTGTAAGGGAAGGGCTGAGTTGTTGGCTTTTCCCTAAGATTCCTTCCAGCTCTAACATTATTGGAAATCCTGTCTCAACTGCTCTGGGTATCAGAGTCTTAATCTAGTAACAAAGAGTAATCACTCTTGTCCTTCAGTGAGCATGAGAGAATATGGGA